AAAGCTCTGCTTTGGATTACAAAACTTCTGAATTTTTAAGCGAAAAGCCTTGTCATCGTCAGGTGACCAACGCTTGATGTGCAGTGATGACAGTCCCAAAAGACAATATTCTCATCCATTGTGTGTTAATGGCCCACAGTCAGGCTGGGAGTCTGTCCTGATGGTATTATGTCACATTTTTTTCTATTTAACATTGTATAATTTTTGTCAAGTGTCTTGTACTTTGTCTATAATAGAATATGCTTATGTGGACCAGCAAAATCCACATTTTACATATCAGTGACCTATTAATTGCACTACAGGCATCTTTGTCCCTATTTCAGACACAACTCCAAATATTTCTAACAAAAGGAAGATTCCTACATGTAACAGTCTGCCACCTGCTAGCCCAGTGTTTCAATTCCTTCCCTGAACACCAAAGCTGTGACCCTTACTGACTCTGAGGTGCACGTGAAAACTCATTCCACTCAAACTGCTTTTGTATTGTGATGATGCATAAAGTGAATTATGGTGCTACATTTAAAAATGCATTCATACAAAGGGCATATACTGTCAGAAAAAATAGTGCATGAAACACTTTATGATTCATAGAGTTGGTTTTACCTTTCCTATAAGTTGGCAATAATTGTATTTAAATGCCTTTTGAATAGATGCATCCATTTGGAGGAACTTATAAAATACACAGATTTATGGTTTTCAAATATTATGTAGCTCCTTGGAGCTTCCTTTCTTTTGGAAATGAATTAGAGATCCTTCTAATTTTAGTATAAAATGAGTCTTATTCAGGCACTATATAATGTAACTGTATATTTCTTTGAAAAAAAATTTACTTTTAAAACTGCATAGTGATTGCAGGTCGCTGGGTGTTTCTTTTTGAAGTACTCTAAGGCCACTTACACACCTTTCTGGATGCGTACTGTCATGCATATGTTGGTTTGGTGCTTTCCTTATTCATGATCCATATTGCTCAATGTGCTTCCATATTCATGCTCAAAACAGTCTTGCCAGAATAAATCAGTTTCTTTGAGCAGTGCCATGATGAGAACATTATTTTCAACTGGAGACATCACAGGTTAGAGTCTCAGGCTGGACATAAACCAACAATACAGGGTATGAAGTGTAAAAGCATTGCTCTATTAGTATCTAGAAAAATAGGCACATGTGAAAATTGTACATCCAAGATGGAATGAGCAATATATGGTGATATTCATATAAATCTCACCTGTAAAACAAAAAAGCATCTCTACTAGTCTGCCCAGCTATTTCTGATTTGATGTCAAAGACGCTTTTTGTGCTCACTAACTGTTTTTCATCCAATCTAGCCTCCTATTTGAAAGTACGCAGCTGTGAAGCTCACTGATGCAGTATTCTGAATTCCTGACAATGATGTATTTCTTTTTTCCTCAACACAGCAAAAAGAGATTTTAGTAATGAACTGGCTGGGTGGGTACTTAAATTGAGTGTGGGAAAATGCAATAGAGTGAGACTATTTAAATGACACTGTGAGAACTTCCTCACTGATATGCCTGAATGCTTAATTGGTGGAACTATTGTACCTGCAGAGGTGAAAAGGTAACATAATTTTCATGGTCAGAAAAAAATGATCTACGGTTAAAAGACTCATGATGGTATTTTTATAATGAGCCCACCCCACACTGGCAAGAAACAGAAATGTTGCCAGTTTTAAAGGATATTCTAGAATTAAATGTAAGCTCACCACTTTTTTATATACTTTATTTGCTTTAAATACCTCATACAGAGCACTGTGGGCTCAACTCAGGAAAAAAATTCCTAAATGTGAGCAAAAAAATACATCAAGGGTGCAGCACTGCTCATGTACTTAAAGTTATGCAGCTGCTGAATTAGTTCCAACAGCACTGAAGGACTATTTTCTGAGGATTATTTATTTTTTCTTTAAGGCAAACAGGCAGCTAAATTTTAACTTAGTTATTAATATCTATGCAGTCACCTTTTACTTCATGTTTCTGTCCAAGCATCTGAGAAGCTACAGTACCATTCTGCATGCAAATAATGTCAACCCAATAAATTAATAGCATTCATTGAAAAAAAAACCCATAAATTTTAGAGCAAAAAAATACCTCAAATATTCCTTTTTCCCTTTTCATTTTCCAAGGGGAAAAAGAGAACTGAACTAAAAACAAACCTTCTGTTCAAGCCAGGTCACCATGACACAAAGCAGTACAAGCCAATAAATCCAGCAATGCTGACAATCCAGCCTGGCAGTATGCACACAGGCTTATGAGCCATGGAAAGATGGGAGGGCTTTGTATATTAGCTCTGTGGCTGTAAGCTGATTTCTTGGAAGGAAAGAAAGGTCAGCGTGCCACAAACAGCATGTAAGGGAAAAAATGTGATCTTGGAGCTGCAGCGCTGCATGGGTAGAATGCAGCCCCATCCCCTCCTGCTCTGCAGCTAAAGTAACCTTAAGTTTGTGCAGGTAGGAGAGTATGGGAAGGAAAGATCACTGCAGGATCCCTACTTTTCATGCTACTGATAGATTACTGATAACTGAGATAAATATTTGGATGCAGACAAGAACACAGGAAAGCAGTTTATCTTCCCAAAAATTATAATTGAAATAGACACATAATTGTCCTTGAAAAGAAAGAAAAGACACCAGCTAAGGTACTAATAAGGCATTGACTGGTCAGAAAATACAAACTTAAGTCCCATTTTCTCTATTGTAGATAGAGCACAAGAATCATAACTGTAGTGCAGCTGAAGAAACAGCTGCAGTTCAAAAATACCTAAGCTTCTGTTTATTGTGCATACATGTAACCAGGCCATTCCAAAACCCCATGAAATAGACTGAAAGTTTCTCAGATGACATTTCCCTCTGTCATGGACGAGCTATTAAGGAACCCACATCCCCCCTTCCCTAAAGGCTGGTCAAAACTGCATGTTCAGCTGAGATTGTTGAAAACATGAGCCAAGTGTTTGATCTTTTGTGTTTCTTGTACCACAGCAAGCACAACTGCAAAGCAGCTTCTAGACAAAGAGGGCAGCTTGCTGGGGCTGGAGGTCTCCTCTTCTCTGCACTGCATTGTCACAGCTCTCCAAACATAGGTGGGCTGCCATGGCGAGGCACTTCAATCTCCTAAACTGTACTTAAAAACTATAAATGTGATGCCTCTACAGAGCAGAATCACAACAGCAGAGCTCAAAGAAAACTGATGACTTGGTTGTTTTGCTTCACTGAAGTATCAGCAGAAGGCAATGCTGAAGGGCTTGGGTCAAAAGTACCTCAACTGTACAGACCTGAAGAAGTTTAGCGTCAGGCACTGCTTACATATTTAGTGTATGGAGAACTTTTCGTGATAGCTTGGGCAAAAACCTGTAGAAGATGGCTGGCAAGCATTCTAACTAGAACTACAGGTTTCATACCCTTAAAATATAATTAGGCACATCATAAATGTCAGAAAACAAAAAAATTCCATCTGCTGGAACCTCTTATTTCAATTGTGCAAAATGCAGCATAAGAAGATCCAGCGGTTTTGCCTTGTTCAATATATTGAGAAGCTCTACAAGATGTTTTATTTACGCCTATTAATAAAGCTCAGGTCAAAAAATGCTTTGATCTTTAAACAAATATTAATGCAGAGAAACACAGACAACTATTAAGCCTCATACTCGGTAAAACAATGAGATAATTGCTCTCTGAACATTGTTGCAGTGTTGAAAAGTCACAGTACACAAGATTTCTATAGGGAAGAAAGTAATCTGATGTTTCAATCTGTGTTTGTAGAATCATAGAATCAGAATCATTAAGGTTGGAAAAGACCTCCAAGTTCATTGAGTTCAAGCTTTGACTGCTCTCCACCTTGTCAACTAAACCACAGCACCAAGTGCCATGTCCAGTCATTTCTTGGAACACTTCCAGGGACGGTGACTCCACCACTTCCCTGGGCAGCCCATTCCAATGCTTAACCACACTTTTAGTGAAGAAATTCTCTCTGATGTCCAACTTGAATCTCCCCTGGTGCAGCCTGATGACATTTCCTCTCATCCTGTCACTACTTACCTGGGAGAAGAGGCTGACCCCCATCTTCCTATAATTTCCTTCCAGATATTGTAGAAAGCGATGAAGTCTCCTGTCAGCCTCCTTTTACTCCAGTCTAAACAGCCCCGGCTCCCTCAGGTGCTCCTTGTAAGACTTGTGCTCCAGCCCCTCCACTGGCTCCATTGCCCTTCCCTGGACACACTCCAGCACCTCAATGTCTTTCTTGAAGTGAGGGACCCAAAACTGAACACAGGATTTGAGGTGTGTCCTCACCACTGCCGAGTACAGGGGGACAATCACTGCCCTGGTCCTGCTGGCCACACTATTGCTGGTACAGGCCAGGATGCCATTGGCCTTCTTTCCACCTGGGCACACTGCTGGCTCATGTTCATGTTCGTGTCAACTAGCAGCCCCCAGTCCTTTTTCACTGCTCATGGTGTCTGTGTAACCCAGAGCAAATCACAATATCAAAATGGAGACTAAAGGCAATTTTATAAACTGGGGTCAAATCTGGAAGTTCTCAAATTAAAAGGTTTTTTTTGAACTTCAGATAATCGCATAATGAACACAGGACTTTCAAATTAATATAGCAGCCACAATTAGCCAAACTCATTCTATCTTGTATAGTGCATTTAGCATGACTATGAAATTCTGGGAATTTTTTCCATGAGTTAGAGACCTTTGAGAAATATAATTTTAAAATGTTTTTAATCTTTGTTATCTATTCCCAAAAGATATATTTTCTTCCTTTTTCACTATGCCTTTGAGACAAATATAGTGTATTTCAGACTAGTCTGCCATATTTATGGGACATGGTGACATGTCAGTCACTTAGGGATTAAGTAAAAGGCAGGCGTAGGCTGATTCGTGCATTCCTAAGGGAAACATACTGCCTGTTCTACCTTCTGATTTCAGAATTAGGGTGTTGAAGAGTAATTTTTAGTGTGGGAAGTTTCTGTTAACAGTTTAATCTAAACAGTAACGTAGACAGTCTGTTTATTCAATGGTAAATCATGTAGCAATGCTTGAATTCCAAAAGAATGCATGGAAATGTTGTTACACAAAATTGGAATGGTTGAAATGGATTTTTTTACAGAGATCCACAATTACTGAATGCAAACACAAATTAAAATAAAAAAAACAAAACTTCAGTATTTAGAAACAAAGAATTTTGTGGTATTTATTAAAACATAATTGCTTTAAGGATCACAGTTAAAAGTCAGACTGTACTGAATATGAAAGAAATTGCTTGTCTGGGCAGTCAGAAATGATAAACCTAGTCAAATAACACAAAAGTCTACCTATATCACTTATTGAGGGCCACATCTTTACACCAACTCTAGTGGGTTTTGTACTACTATGTGGGGAATATATAAAATGTTTTATCCCCAGTTGTAATGTAGCTTCTTCTTCATTGGCTTTTGGAAATTATGACCAGTTAGGATACCTTTAGATATACCTTTAGTTGTCAATTGTCAACATTTTTTTCAAGAATCAAGAGGTAATTTTTATGAACAAGTTACATCATATACTTCCAATGAGGGGCACCCTGGTTTAACCAGGGATTCTGAATTTATGTCCCATGGGCCTTTGTTCATGTGACAAGGGTATGTCTGTACAGATCAAGCTACACACCACCAACAGTACATGCTCACACAATTGATGCATCCAACATGTAATGGGTAAGCAAAAGCGTACAACCAGCAAGTATCCAAAACTCACCATTTCCTACATTTAAGTATCATTTCCAGTGACTGGCATAATTTTTCATATTTTAATAGACTCATAAATTCTTCTTAAGCTTTATCTGTTTCTCTGTTGTTCGAATATGGCTACAATTTACAATTTACGTGCCTTAAATGCATGAGTTGCTTCATATCCATATCAAGGGAACAAACACCACCACATTGTAATTTTTCAGTAAAATATTCATTTCCATGGTAAAACATCATTCTTCTTGAATGTATAAAGCTAATTTAGTTCAACTCCTCTTTTACAGTTACCCCAATTATAATGGCATGCATTTAAAATATAAAATATGTAGCTCCACTAAATAGTACTGAAATGAGTCTGGTTGTATCAAAATATTTGCAGTCATTTTTCCATTTCTTTTTGCATTTAGTCTCATTCTAATTTGATGCTAATGGCCTTCTGAGTATTCAGCACTGGAGTTCAAAACATTAAGATTATTAAGAGCTGTAGTCAGTGAAAACATCTCGATTTAAAGCTTCTGAAATACAGAATGTTATAGCTGATGAATTTATGATTACAGCTAAGTGATTTAGTTTTAATAAGTGCTGGACTTCTGAGGAAAATAACACAAACCAAAGCTTAGTGGGTTTGCATACACATTACTTCTGGTGTAATATACACTGAAATTTTCCTAAGATTTCTGATTTTTGAAGGAGAGCTGCACTAAACGCTGTAGAAAACAGTATGCTGGACTCAGAATTTCAATGCATCATGAGCATAGACAGGAATATGAATATATAGTGTTATAGTGTATGCCTAGAGCTTCAGTTACTCATGAAGGTACTGCAGTAATGTGTGCTTAATCCTGGATGGCTGACTTTGAAAGGCTGTTTCTGTGAGGCTAATTAGTTAATAAAAAGTTAAATATCCATGAGAAAATGTGGGCAATATTTATTTTAATTCCTAAAAAATATTGTGTTATGCACATACCCACAGGTACCCAAGCACACAATGTACTAAAGTAAAAAGTTTGCACCATGTCATATCAGAAATTCAAGAGCGTGCAACATGTAAGAAAAATGTATAACTGTTGTTAGAAATCCGGAAAGTCTATTCACTGTCATCCATATGCATATCTAAAAAGCAGCCTAGCCAAGTTTACCAAACATTTCTTATGACTGTTGTGATTTTGCAGTTAAGGAATCAGAAACTCACAATATATACAACAAGCTTAAATGGCTTGTGTATGTTACAAGTATACAGCAGGAGGCAAGGTAAGTATGACAAATATACTGACGTCCTGATGTTGCAAAATCTTGACCAAAATAAACAAACAAAAAATGACCCAGAAATCACCTCTATGATAAGAGAAGACATTTCACTTCTTGTGAAAAAGAAGAGGTTTCACCATCCCTGCTAGAATCTTGGGTAGCTGGGCAGCAATCACCTCTGACATCATCTCGGGGAATTCAACACTCAGTGCACGGGACTGGAGAAATGTGTTCAAACAGAAGAGATGGAGCTGTTTCACTAGCTGGATTTAATAAAATACAAACACGAACAATCAGGCTAAGAGTAATGCAGCCAGATAAACATGCTGTCAACAACTTAGCTCATACATTCATTAGCTGACATCATTATAAAGACCTTACTCTGTCATTTCTTGAATCAATAATGAGGGTATTTGTCACTCCCTATTGATGGCAAAAATCATAAATATAGCTAAATGTCATGTCATGTAAAAACTGCCTCACTAATATTACAAAGTAGTATCATTCTGACTCATGAAATTTGCAATGAACAATGGCAATTACTTAACAAGTATTCAATCTTCCATCACCCTCAAGATGACTCAGTGCTTTGTTCACTACATGCCATTCAAACACTGCTCTGAGAGACAGCATTTACTACTTACCTGTGAGCTTTTCCATGGTTCTGATTACCATCATATCTGAGTATGCCGCAAACATTAAACTCCATAGGCCCTTGTCTCTTAAAGAAACTGCTCAATACAAGTGACTATTTCATCTCTTCTATCCTCTCTGAGAGGCTCCAATTTTTCTTTCAGACCAGTGACCTTTATGTTGTCAAATAACATACTATTTCTGCTACCCTAAGCTTTAACATCATGCAGTCTCCTCAGTGTGATGATCTATCTTTTCCTTCTATCTCCATCACTTTATCAGCCTGAGTTGAAACAGGGGTTGAACAAAGTTACTCTATGGACCACACACCACTTTGCTATTTTGCAGCAAGCCTCCCTCCCTCTCTCCCTCCCTCCCTGGCTCTTTTACTTTATATATTTGAAAATAAGAGATTGAATTAAAACAAAGCGTAAATTTGCTGAGTGCTGAAGAATACAAAGATGCAAAGATTTCATCCACCCTGTACTCCCTGAGAGTTCCTCATAATCAACTCTGAACTCAAAAGTGCTTAGGGGTTGGTATCAGGACCAGTGCTGTTTAACATGGGCAGTGGAATTGAGTGCATCCCCAGCAAGTCTGCCAATGACAACAAGCTGTAGTGAGTCTGTGTGAACCTCATGAAGTTCAACAAGGTCAAGTGTGAGGTCTTGCACCTGGGCTGTGGCAACTCCAAGCACAAATACAGGTTGAGTGGAAAAAGAATTGAGAGTAGCCCTGGGGAGAAGGACTTGGGGGTGCTGGTTGATTAGAAGCTCCGTATGACTTGCAGATGTGCTACTGCAGCCCAGAAAGCTGACCATGTCCTGGGCTACATCAAAAGCAGTGTGGCCAGCAGGTCAAGGGAAGTGATTCTGCCCCCCTGCTCTGTTCTCAGGAGACTCCATCTTTGGGGTGGGGTCCAGGTCTGGGGCCCCCAAGACAAGAACAATGTGGACCTGTTGAAACAAGTACAGAGGATGGCCACAAAGGTGATCAGAGGGCTAGAGCACCTCTCCCATGAAGATGGGCTGAGAGAGTTGGGGTTGTTCAGCCTGGAGAAGAGAAGGCTCAGGGGAGACCTTATTGTGGCCTTTCAGTACCTGAAGGGGCTACAAGAAATCTGGGAGGGAACTTTTTGCAAAGGCACGTAGTGATAGGATGAGGGGGAACAGCTTCAACCTAAAAGAGGTCAGGTTTAGATTAGATATTAGGAAGAAATTCTTTAATGGAATGGTGGTGAGGCTGGAACAGGTTGCCCAGAGAAGTTATGGGTGCCTCATCCCTGGAAGTGTTCAAGACCAGGTTGGATGGGGCTCCGTGTACCTGGTCCACTTCCCCCCTCATATAGCGAAGGTTGGAATTAGATGATCTTTAAGGTCCCCCTTCAAACCAAATCCATTCTATCATTCTATGGATATTAACATGGATATAGGTTTATATGAAATGTCACTCCTCAATTTTAATGAATTTAAAAACAATAGGATACATGTTGGATTCTCAGAGGTGTGGAAAGAATTCAGCTGCATCTTTTAAGACACCTATGAATCTCTGATATCACTACTAGAATTCTTAAAGATTACTCAGTTCTCAGACATAGACAGATCCTGAAAAATGGCACAGAATATACACATAAAATAGTTGAATTAAGGTTTCAAAGAAATTCTTGGTTATCTTTCTTTAATTCTTAGTAGCCTGACTTTGCAACTTGAATTGCCTATCCTGTGCATTGTTATTTTCCTGAACACGTATACACATGCTCACACACACATAGACACCACCCCCTACCAAAGCCCATAACTGTATGGCAGGCAGCATGAAACAAAATGGTAGCATTCAAATACATTTCCCACGAATACTTATATCTTGTATACTATAAAATATAGGCACAATACATATAGTGATGCTGAATATATCTATTCACACAAATATACACAATAAAAGAAAAATGTTTTGTTGTTTTCTTTTGTTGTTTATAAATGTTAACTACTTTCTTCTGTAAAATTATTTTTAAGAAATACTAGTTCCTTCTTACACAAAAAGTAAAACACATTAACAAATAAACTTACATCATGCATAGAATCCATCAGTTTTGTAAGTTGATAGAAACGTTGTGAGTTGGCCACAACACCTTTCTGGCGCAAACCAATTGCCTTCACCAGTTCTCTAATGTAACTCGTTCTCATCTCATCAAATTGGCTTTGACTCCTTAGACCTTCCAAAGGAACTAAACAAAAATAAGACTTGTGTTACAATTTACTCTGAAGGCAATGAAAGAAATTTAAAGTACAGGAAAAAATTATAGTATTTCATGCTGTACAGTGCAATTCATTACTATATGCCAGGCACTTTTTCCCATTTAAAAGTTACTCCAGAAACAGTGACACAATTAGTTAAATGGATATACCAGCAATAATCCATTAATTTTGCTAATAGATCTAGAAATACCCTAACCTTCAGCTACACGTGTTTGCTGAAAAAAAAATATGGCCAAAAGAACCACTGCCATCTTTGAGGAAATATGTTATGGACTGATTCATGTTTACACTGCTGAGGGTCAGCTCTCTTCACAGCAAATTTATGGTAGAGAGATCTAGCTTGAGTACTTCAAAATGGAGTCAAGTAACGAACAAACAACTCTCAAGTAGTGCCGACAATAAAGCATCCAGGGCTCAGCCTCCCATTTGAACCTCTTTCACTTGACAGAACAGATGTACTATCAGAGTCTTACATGTGAACAGCTTTTTAGAAAAATTAGCAAAGAGGAGAAAATGGTTGAACTTCCTCTTCTCTTAATGGTCAGGTGTAAGGATAAAAATGAGGACATGGAGACAACACTGAGAAAGGAACTGCTAGCAATAAGAGCATATTTGATCACTGATGATAACATTCTCCTTGACATGGTAGAGTGTAATCCACAAGTCTTACCACTTGTATTGTCAAAGGCAACTAAGAAATGAAAAACTTGTAGAAATGAAAATAAAAAAAAATTATTCCCATCTGGCAATCAAATCTAAATCCTTGCTTCCCTATAATCACACATCAAAACATGGTCTTGTTTCAAACAGACTGTTTTCAAAAGAGATGTTGAATTTCTTCTCCTTTCCTTTCTCTCTTGCCAATGACATTTCACACTGCAACATCATATTTAATGTTTTGTATTCTGACAACCATGAGGAAAAGGATTCACCTCACCAAACTTAGGCATTTCACAGTATAGGTATCTTCGTCTATTAGTTACCATAACTACCTACAGTATTAGCGGGAATAATCAGGTAAGTCTTGGGCATAAGGAATGTTCACTGGTTTGAAATTATCCTTAGAAAGAAATTATTTATGCTTATTTTTCTCCACAGACTCTAAAAGAGTGTCATGGATATTAGCTCTCACTGTTAAATAAATTTCCTGCTAGATATCTAGGTACCTAGTACATCTTCATTCTGGTATCCAACCATAACAGATATGAGGCCACAGCAGACTTCATTCGAATCTCATTTAAAAAAAAAACAAAAACAAAAACAAGCTTGGTTCATAAGGACATTGACTTATTTAATATAGCGAAACCTGACTTCCAGGTGATTTGTCACTGTCTGGAATTAAAATACAAATAAATGTGTGTACTAACTCTCTGTACAATGCACTACATTGTTAGATATCTCATAATGGAATTCTTGAGAGAGAAGCCACCTAAAAAGGAGACAGCTGAACAGGGGTCAATCTAAACTCATTCCCTGAAAGAGGATTAGGTAGCAAACCCTGCACTGACAGCAACACTTCTCTCCATTCCGAAATCAGAAATGCTGTTCTGAAATCAGTCATCTAAGTCATGCCTGGTTCCTCAGAAAAATGTAAGGGAAAAGGAGACATTCCAGATAAGCATATTAAAATTAAAATTCTCTTGCCTGAGCCTGGAAAGGATGACAAGAGAGAAGTTCGTATCTCTATTCTACCTGAGTTAAGCAGGCCTAAGAGAGGAAATGATCCCATTTACCTAGGTAGCCTCTCACTCAGTCTCACCTCAGACAACTGAATGTTTGAGGAAAAGGAGGGAGACACACAGAAAATAGCAAGTTTATTATAAAGACAAGTGCCTAAGTACTGAGTTGGCCTATGGAAGAGACGATCTGGCTCTTAACTAAGACATAATTCAAACAAAAATAAAAATAGAAAGTAGAAATTTTGACTTTTTCTGCAGAAAGTCTGTTTATAACACCATATCTAACCTGGTACTTACACTTCCACTACCTGGAAGCTGATGGAGGTGAAATGAGGTGGACTGTTGGTTTGACTTGGAATGACTTCTCAAGTCCAGAAAGATAAAGAAGGTATCTGAAAGTGTGCCAGTCACATATACATCAAGAGTCTGAATGGAAGGGACACCTTCTGGTTTGTGGAGAATGCAGTGTGCTTAGGAGAAAAGCAGGCAGGAATACTCACAGTGGGGAAAAGTTATGTCACAGAAAAAGAATAGCTTAATTTTCAAAGCCTGGATGATTCTGGGTATGTCTTATCAACAGTTTTACAGACATCTAGGAAATCTTTTTCATATATTGTGACACTCTGATGGAGTTTTGGGTTAGGTGGATGCTAGCCTTGACTTACATCTCTAAAATAGCAATTAAGTCTTTATATTTCCCTTGTCATTAAGTTAAAAGGTATCTTCCAGCAATGAATGGCCTGTTTCCTTTGAATTCTGCAAAAACACAGTCACATTCCCACTTAGTCACCAAAAGTTCCACTAAGCTATTTATCTGAGTGAAGAAGTACAATGTCTTACATGGGCAAATACAACTTAAGCACAGGCAGGTCAAATGTTCCCTCCCGCTGAATGTATGCAAAGAATGAGGATGCTTTTATTCAGTGGCAAGAATCAAGCCAAAATCTTACGCAACAAGATTCTGAAATTCCTTTAAATCAAAAGTATGAAAAGTGTTAGAGGCAGAACTGAACTTGCTATTGTAGAACTGAACTTACTTATCTCTCTCTTTTGGCATAGCTCTAGTTTCTTAAATCATAGTCTTTCTGAACTGTTCATATTATTAGTTCTGAGAAGGATGTGGCCTCTGCAAGATGGAGTCCTATCTAGTAGTTAGGGGATACTAGCACAACACAGCATGATACACATAATAAAGAAGGACCTGTAAAATGGAAACAATTGCAGAAAATAAAAATGTTTGTCCACTTTTTGCAAAGACTAATTCTGCTTTCAAGACAGCTTTAAGATTGTCACAAGTGTATTATAAAGCAAACATTTAAGTCACAGTAAATTCCAAGAAAAAAACTGTAAAATCAAAAATTATGTTAAAACAGGTTCTGGGACTCCATTCAGAATTAAAAATGTATCAAGACTTATATTTACTTATTTTAATACAAATGACTTGTTTCTAAACAATATATTGAACAAAAGACACATTGAGAGACTAAAAGATTAGCCTTGATTTACTGTTATTATAAAAAAGCTTGAAATGGCCATACTTTCACATTTGAAGAGAATTATGATGAATATCATGACTAAAATAAAAGTAGTCTTAAAAACATTTCAGAGCAACAATGAGGTTATATGGCTTTTTTGGAAATACTTTTGTGGAATTATATTTATACAGTACCAAATGTTTACTAAATGTCTCAGCAACAACGATTGTGTTCCTTTTCCCAAAGATCTGACAAATTGTTTTCTCCTATAAGACAATAAGTGTACGAGAGAACAAAAAACAAAACTCATCAGCACAGGAAGAAATACTTTCTTTAAAAAAAAAAACAAACACTTTCTTGCATATGCATAAACATATCTTAAAAATTAGCTTCTGAGTGCAATGCAATTGACAAAGAATGGTAGCTTGATGAATTCTGCTAAACTGATGCACTCAGAAATGAGAGGGATTGGATCGATCACTGCAATGATTTTTTAAATTTCATCTGAACTTTCTGGAACAGAAAGGGATACCAAAAAATTTATCTAAATTTAACTGAAATTTTAAAGTTCCCTCTAAGGTTCAGATGATTCATGAGGGAGTTCATTTTTGATGAAAACAAGGTGGAAAACATTTAAAACAGGAATACATTTAGATTTCAACAAAGCAACTGGACCTACATCAGAGAAGGATTTTTATCCACATTACTTTTACTGCTTTAGCAGAGTCTCTGGTCTCTTGCTATTATTTTAGTAATTTCTATGTTCATATGAGCTAAATTTAATCTTTTTAATCTTATGCTTTTCCGAGACCAAATTTTTTAAGCATGAAGCTTATGGAAATACCAGCCAAGTACAGCTTAAGATGGAATGAATTTTAATTTCTTATCTTTTACTTCAATTTTGTACAACTAACAAGCAGGCTAAGCGGGATTTTCACATCTCTCCTTTGACTCCATAAGTGTGTTGAGAACTAAACTTCTACATTCTTTCAATTATATTTCTCAAAAGTGCTTATTTTCATTTCTAATAACAGGTGTATAAATTTAAAACTTTTTATCTGGGGATTCATAGCTAACAATTATGACCTCAGCAGATGCACATTTTAGAACATCAGAAAAGGTTTTGGAAGATAACTTCACCAACTACCTCACTTCCTAAGTAAAGTGTAATGCAACTTTGTGCTGCATTCTTTAAAAAATACGTCCGATTAAAAGTGACAATGGATTTTGTTCCAGAGAAACAAAGTAAAAAAAAAATTTCCATTTGTTAATATCTGTGCTAAACTTCACCTATTTATAACTATAAAAAGTTGGATAAATGTTAGTATTGTACGTCATGTCCACTTCCCTAATTCTTTTGAGTAAACAAGCTTTAAGATCTTGGCCAAGATAAAGCCTTCAGTCCTTATAATTTATTAAATATTTTTAAATATATTTCTAATACTTCTAAGGTTGTTTTGGTTTAGTTTTGGTTTGTTTTTTTATCTATGTGGAGTCACTTAAAGAGATGTTTTCAGGCAGAAATACTACGCACTTGCTTTGCAAAAGTGTTAATGTAGTATAGCTATATATCAAAAGGGATTCAATATTTCCCCAGAGTCTTTATACAGAATAAACCCAACAATGAATCACAAATTCTTTGTTCTTTATAAACACTAGAAAAAATATTTTTAAGCCTTGATATACTAACATTCCTCCTAAATGTGTTTCCATTTGTTAAGCCAGACAGCTCAGTGATTGTGAAATTAAACAACGTGGTTCAAAACTCTTTTAGTAGTGATTCGTTACAAAGAAATAAAAGAACCTACTTGTGTTGAGAAGTAACAGTGCTTTCATACATAGGAACTCTTCTTGGCTAACTTGAAGTCTGACAAATTCCTGTGGGAGTTGCCACATCGATAGACACAGGGAATAGAACGATGATTCTTTCATCCTCTGTCTTACACCCAGAAAAGGTAAACAAAAAAATAAATTAAAAAATGTGAAAATAAAGAAAAAGAATGGCTCCGGTGCTAACTGTTTGAAGGGAATGCCTTGTTTAATTATCACATTACAGACATTAAAGAAGAGGTTATACACATAAACAATTTTCTGTATTTTTATACCTAATGAAAGTGATATTATTTTGTATGTTTAATCTGTTACCGCTGTCCAGAAAAAAAAAATTGGAGACTATCGAAGTTGAATGCTAACCACCAAAACAAGAGTGTTTTATTAATTAAAAATACTCTAATGATTAATATAAAGTACTATTTTATTTTAGAGGTTGATAGATTTTTGCATCTCTGAAAAGATTTCAAAGCATAGAACTAAAGATAAACCTGAAAGTTTATAGAAAACTTGTTCTTAGCTCTTTCAAAAATGTCCACATCAAAATACTTTGTAGCAACTCTAACATTGTACTTCCACTAGCAGTTAGATTATTTTGTAGCATTTTATGCCATTAAAGAAACAGTTCAAAATGTTACATATTAAGTAAACAGATACATTAATACAGTCCTATCTAAACTCCCAGAGAAGTAAATAGAACAAATCACACAGGAAATACATAAAATTGGTAAGTGTTTTTGCAGCATTTCAATACTACTTTTCTCTCTGTGATTTTGGTATACGAGTATATATTACTGCATTTATTTATTAGGAATTTCAATTGAAATAATTGCAACAATAGCATTCAAAATTTTATAATCTAGATTGAAGTCATTGCACATTAACCTGATGATCCAGTAATTAGAATTGATTCTACAAAGTTACATCGTGATCCTGATGAATTGTGTACAACAAGATTAAATTTTGCTTCTCCATCCCCTAGAAGTTCAGATGAGCATTCCAACCTGACTGCAGATAGTACCCTCAACAATGAAAACAGACTTCTCCATGCAATGAGCTTTTTTCTTGTTATTCAGAGCACTACTGTCATCTTGAACGAAAATTATTTCAGTGTTGCTCAACATCTGATATCTCGTACCAGTTCTTAAATGATGTAAACATAGAAATTTATCTTTTAAATCTGAGTGGACTCATTATTTCTATATCTACTTTAAATCCCCCTTCCTATTACTTTCTGGTAGCATCTCTTCCTAATTATAATCTACGAAGAGTGATCAGGGTAAGTGATCAAAGCTTTCAGGGTATGCTTAAATGCTGTTCTAACTCACATTTTCAGAGACTGAAAAGTAAAAGTAACAGTAAACCATTGTATGATGCTAATACTAAGAAATCTTAGTCAAACTAACACTCCTGGCTTTCTTGGTGTGAAACTGATACTACCAAACAAGTCCTTCTCGAGAAGCACAACAAGTCAGTTTGCTAAACAACAGATTGGCTGTGAAACAATCTTTGGATTGTGGTTTCATGGCCATTTTGAAACAACTAAGGTGTGCATTGCCCCTGTAGAAGGAATTTCTATTATCTGTTTCTACCTCTAAGCTCACACTCCTGCAATTCTGGCATTAGTGTCTGCACTCCAATGTGGTGAGTCAAGTCAGGGATCACCTCCACCTGCTAAAGAATGGCTTTTTGGGGGGGTAATTCTTAGGCATATAAATTCCTTATCTGTTTGACAGTGCAGCCAGATAGTGTTTGATACAGCTTAAATGAAATCATGGGGATGCACGACCAGGGCAGTTAACATTTTTGGCAGCGTTCGGTAGTTACCTTTGCTTAAAGTGATTATGATAGTACAATCTTAGACATCATCGTAGACAATGAAGTTGCTTACATTTTACTATCTAAAAGCTAACTTATTTCCCAATAAACAGCTGCAGATACAATTTAGTGTGCCACTTACTTTACATGCCTCTGTTTATAACGTTTCTTATATGACCCTGATGAGATGGGTCATCTCATCTCTCATAACCACGAGGTGTCAATCCACCTCCTTCTCAGTGTAGATGGTCTTAAACTGCTATTAAGAAACTGTCTCTAGTGGATTATAATTGGAGTTCATAAATCTCAACCCTATTCTGGAAGAAAGTACTCAAAGTCTTCTTCACAAGGTGTCAGCAGTGGTCCACATGCAGGGTTATACCTCAATATGTGAAACTACTGCCTAAGCCATCTCACTTTGTGTTTCTTCTGGATGTTACCATATATCAGATTCTGCTGGGACAGCATACAGTCAGAACTTCTTTCAAGCTCATAATTTCTAAGTATTTAAATTTGTACACCATAATTAATACAAATGGGAGAGGAAAGAATTCATTACTCAATAACTTCACAGTGATTTACAGTCATCTGGAAGACAAAAGACCAGGAGCTACAGGGCCTCCTCCAGTGAATATTTTCTATAAAGAACTTCACTGGCAGGAACTTGCACACTATAGATTTTAAAATTAGGTGTCTAGATCTTCTGCAAATCCACCTCTTAATCCTTAAACAATATGTCCTACAAAAAGACTTCTTTCATCTTGCTTCATAGTAGTTCTTTAAGATTTTAAAAAAAAAAAAAAAAAAAAAAAAAAAAAAAAAAAAAAAAAAAGAAAAATGTATTAAGGAGATATAGAGATTAAATTATGTTTTACTGTTCCTGGCAGCTTCCCATGTACTATAAACAAAGTATCTAATATTACAAGTTTAACAATATAAATTTGCAGAGCTGAAAAACTGACACAGATTGAAATGAAGATTATCTAAATTAAATAGCATAGTGAAGGAAAATCTAAGCCAACAATCCCCTCACCCCCCAGTACAAAAGAGCAGTCTCACATATTTTCTCCTTGATATTGAAATTTCTTCTTTGTAATTTTTTTACAATTTTCTAACAACAAATGTACTTTTCTAACATGAAATGTACTTTAAAAAAATCAGAGTTTTATCAGAAAGTGTCAAAATTGAGTATTTAGACTATATGCAAATTATTTGCAAAAACCACCCAAACAAAACCAAAGAAAATCACAGTCAGTTCCATTTATTAAAAATTTAACTCCTATCTTATTCAGATGAATTCAGTAAATTTTCTGACAGCATCATTCTTTTTTTTTTAATTATTATTTTTCCCTTAGATAATTAGAATACTATTTGAACACCTTTTGTTTGAACATGCAAATAGAATAGTTGGGGTTCCCACAAAACGCTTTCCAAAGTTACTGAGCTTTGATATGATCAGAGGACTTTCCTCTGCTGTTAATTTTGAAACGGAACAAATAATGAATGAAATCTTGGTCTCAAGGGAGTCACATTCCCACTGGCACATATAAGTTTGAAATGTTATTCACATAATGCAACAGCAGAGTCTACTTACTCATTTAGAATCAGATCTGGTGCAAAATATAACATCTGACCACTGACGTGTTTGTATGATCTCCATCCCATTGCAAAAACCATTAGACTCATCCAGGAATACTGGATGAGGGTTATCTGATCATCAATATGTAAATTCCGAAATCCTGGAAATGAAATTAAAAGTTAAAATACTTTGTAATTCTCATTTAGACAGCAGCTGAGTTTTGAAGTTACAAATTTGAGCTATACAATTGAGAACATCTAGAAAGATAAGTGGTTTTGGGGACGTAGCTCTCAGATGTTTGGGTAATCTCACTTTGCTGTGATAGCTGGCTATCTCACCTCTTATCTTTTTGTTCTGATTCAGTAAAATTAACTTTAGCAAAAATGGCTGTTTCAGGGAATAGGAATGCACATTATTTTGCTTTGGTAAAAATATGAGTTTGTAATATGATCACTGTAACCAACTCTTATTTCACATAGATAGCTTGAACTTTAGGTTTCTTAACAGAAGATACAGTTGTCATAAAATAAACGTCCATATTGCACTCAACTAAAGAGAAGCATATTCAGTTGTGTGCTTGCCTTTGATAATTTTTGCTGTTTGGTAACTCTAAAGATTGCCATGAATTATCTGAGTCAAACTAACAGCTTCCTGCCACTGAAAGCAGTGCTCCTGCTCCTTATCACCTGGTCCTGTTACCTCCATCAGGCAAGCTCTGGCATTCATGCTACTCCTCAGGGAACTGGTTCAGCTCATGAAAACACAGAAAATGACAGAGGGTAAAAAAAAAAAGTTTCTTTTCTTCTCATTTAATGAGATGAATTGGTTCATCCAAGACGTCTGATAAGTGCAAACTGCCAACAGGAAGAGCAGCGATAGAGACTACCCTTTCCTGCAGCAGTGAAGTGTCAAATTGAGCTCACATGAAACTGTATTTTCTAGGCTTTCTGCTCAAATATTGTTTTATATATATTCCAGGATCAAGCCCCTATGACCACAGAGTGGTGTACATACATACACACATATGTACATACATAACATGGATTTTTTTTTAATCCAGTCTTGGATCTTCATAAATTCAGTTAGTTCTAATTACCAGTCTATTCGTGAGCTTCTTAGTCCCAGTTGGTACTATTTATTACAATTTTATTTTGTTGCTGTCAAAAATTCATTTTAGTAATAATATGAATAAAGAATATGCAGAAATACAACCCTTCTTATACCAAATGAATAAATAATAGAGTAGGAGGGATGGGGGTGGAAAGGCTGCTATAACTATTACATGCAAGAACTCACTGGGCTTCTGTAGTTTCTTGAAGCAAGCCTAAATATTTAGATTGATTCCTTCAAATGTGTCCTCCTATCAAAATTTATTTGAATAGTTATATTATCTGATGAGGTGGAAGCTTAATAATTTTGGAATTTGTTAAGAATTAAGTAGCATGCAGACAATAATATTCTCCCTTGACTGCTCATTCCATGATATATTTGCTTAATTTATGATTCACTACATATATGACATTACCTGGTAGCAATTTAGACCACTTGACTACACAAAGAAGTTGCCTCTCACAAAGATGATTTAGACTGGTCAGCAAGGAACTTGGTGTTTCAGGTTTTGTATTGTCATAACCAGCATAGACAACTTCTGGCTCAATGCCTCGTAAAACACTTATCATTGGGGGAACAAACTGTATTTCTTGATTTGGAGAAAAGGACAGCCTTTGGGTTAAAGATTGGCTTTCATCTTGAAGGGTTGCTGGCTGCTGGAGTGCAACATCTAACGTTCTCACAACCTTAATTTTGTTAAACTTTTTCAATTTTCGACCTGAAAAAGAAAATTGTTAATCTGTTAGAAAGACTTAACCAGTAACATCAGTATTTTCCATTAGTGTTGCATTACGCTTTTAATCTATATAAGGAAACTAGAACTGTCTTCTGAGTAAGTTTTCTATTCTTTGACTATTTATATAATTCACAAATAATAATGGAAAATTCTTAAGAGCTCCCTTCATATCCTCCTCCCTTCACTAAGAGATGAATGGCACTCACTCATTAAAATTACTGACACGAATTCTGGGTTACAGTAACCTCATAAAACGTTCTCTGGTTCAGTTCCCACTGCTCTGTCATATGCCAACAGCTGAGCCAGCTGGCTCTACAATTCAGTTTCTATTTAATGTCAATTGAGGATACTGTTTCTTTTACTCCCTAGTATTCAGAAACAAAAATGCTAGTAATTAATTACTTCACACAGACATTCCTTTCCTCCAGTGCCCTAAAAGCATTTCAGTCTCATGGATGAATCCTGTTTTGATGGTCAGGGGATGAATGAAAGGTCAACAAATCCTGTAAAACCATTTATAAAACACTTTACTTTCGAAAGATTAATTTCCCTTTCTCAGTATTTGCAATTCTTATTTCCATACTGCAGTGCTATGAACAACTAAGTAAAAAGAAAGATACATAGCTGAACTCCCTTCCCAAAATAAGCATAGATACATGTGGTATGGCTATGGAAATATATAGAGCTCTAGGTAGCAACTCTTCAAGTTTCTTTCATGGAAACAGTCCACGTAGCAGCGCACACTTTAGTCACAAAAAATCAAACCTTCCTTCAGAGGTTCAAAGACAGTAACCCTCAGTAACATATTACTATATTAAAAGTTTCAATGCAAAGGTAAATCTATGTAGAGATGACTGCATGGAACACACTTCCTTTAAAGAGATCCTCAAAGGTGATAAAAATCCTGCTAGATCATTAGTTCTGCCAAACAAGTTTGGGTTAGGCAAAAAAGGGATAAAAAATGCAATAAAGATACTGATAGTTATGATCTGATTTATATCACAATGGGGCAGTAAGAGAGATGGGAGTGATGGCAAAAAAAGCGTAAATAATTCTGCCGACAAAAATATAAAAAAAAATTTACATGTTTCAACCTTAAAGAAAATAAGGAAGGAGAAGGTTTTGCTCAAAAAAACCCACAGAAATCATGTGAATAGTTTTACTTGTTGAGGTGTTGCATACTTTAAGTAGAAAAAGAGATGCATCAAATTTTACCAGATGAAAGGAAAATCCATGCCTGTCAAACTGCTGAACCACCAAGAAACTGCAGTACAAAATGGCAATGTGCAAAAACCACTCTAAAAGTACGGAAGGTGAAAGGTAATAGAAACATAATTCTATGCATCTATTTGGCTGAATTAAAATCAAGTTTCTAAGATATATATCAAATTTTCCTTTGAAAAATTGTACTTTTATTTACAAGTACACAATTAGACAAGGAAATTTATCAGATCCTAAAGGAAAGGGAATAAAGACTTCTCCATCTCTTACTGCCGCCTTTTTATTTTAGTTGAAAGTAGTGCTGCATTGTTGGAATGCAACCAGTGCACCAAAGAGGTCTTAGGACACAGGAGTAGGGCCTAAACTTTGGTACATCTTAATTCATTTTCAACTATTTATGAGAGGAATGGAGGGATACTAGTATAGTCAGACTCATCTATTACTTTTCTCCTTGGAAAGCTCCAGTCTTCCAAACAACATGTTAAATCAGAAAAATAGTTATACTTAAGGACATGACTATTCCATTTGCTTCACATGCTCCCATATCACAGAAGATATCAAATTTTATGAAAATCCAGTGTCTCCACTTAGGAAGACCTAGGTTGTACACATCAGAGAATTAAATTGACCTTTTCAAAACATTCATTAGTACACAAGTAGTATAACTTCAAGTGAGATTTAAAATTAAACATGGAGAGATTTCCGATGTAATTTCTAAATATTTTAAATAGAACAAACGCTATTACTTAAGTATTTTTTATGTACACTATTACTTAAGTATTTTTTATGTACACTGGTATAACTGAAGGTAGAATCAATCCTCTTGTTTTTGAACCAGACAAGATTGATAAGATGAACACAATCTAAAATGCCAACATCCACTTTTAATAAAAATTAATTTTGTTTTATCCCATCATAAATATGCATGTTAATGCATTTCACATACAAAGTTATACGCAAAAGAACAATACCTCAATTTAAATTAAAACAACATTTAAAATCAAAAGGAAGTATGCTAAACCAAACTTCAAGAAACACACTTTAATGATAGTATGAATACGAGTGATGAGGCCTTCAGTAACACTCATTATGCAATGAAATCAGGGGTCATATTCCCACTGACTTAATTGTGGGTTTACTTAGTTTGGTATCAAGTGCCCCAACAATCTTCTGCTCATTTCATCACTTGTGGCAAGAATAAAAATATTTCTGATTACAGACTCCTTAGTAAAGAACCAAACAAAAACTTACAGCTTATGCTACAGCTGAACCAAAAAAAAAAAAAAAAAAAACAAACACATAAAAAACCCTCCAAAAGAATAGACAATTTATTATGCCAAAAGACCTAGAGCCAACTTCTGTCATAACAAATCTATGCATAGTCCTAAACGTGCTGGGAATTTCCCACTAAGCATTGTTTAGGCATGAAGGAAAACAGAAGGAACAATGCATTTGATAGTTTATAAATAATCATTTCAGGTATTTTTTGAAATAATAGCTTCAGATACTTTTACAGTTCAGAGAACAAGTAAAGAAAGAAACCAAACAGAGTGCTGATCACATGGAAATGTTAGTAGTTAATAAGTACCCATGTTTCCATGTGACTAAATGTATGAGAATTAATGTCACACTGGTTTGCAGAATTGCTTATGTGTTTATTTCTAATTATGTTGCTTAACAGCCACCAGTAAAGCAACTCCACTTGTTACCTATCTACTGGATAGGTGACTATTAATAACTCACAATAAATTTCTCCCATCTACCACAAGAAGACCACAACAAATTAATAAAAAACTCTTAAGGACATAAGGAAAACAACACAGATATGACAATAGCTTACTTTTTATTTTGGTGTTTCAGAAACATCCAGGTAAGTTCCTGCTATAAGATAAATAAATATCTCCACTTGTTCCTATAAAGTGTAAAGAACATTAATCCACTCTGGCAACTATTCATCCTAAAACTATAACCTATCTGTGCATATTTAGACAGTATGAATTTTCTTTGTAACATTGTCATTATTTTGTTTTAAGATAGCCAACCACTCAAGCAGTTTCTCAGTACTCACTGTTCCCTTACCCTCGATTACTATGAGTAGCATGTGTATAGTGTTTGCGTGCTACATGTACCTAGAAAACATAAAAGATAAAATCTCATCATCAAATATATTATGATTTTCCCCTTACTACATAATTCTGTATTCTAATATTCTTTTAACTACATATACAGAATCATATTGAAAATCAGACATTATTGATGGTACACATTTTGTATTAAAAGCACTGTGTTTCTAGTAAAAGCCTAATATCTCACTATCCTTCTCCTTACTCTGTAATCAGGTGAAAAGCATCAGTAATTTACTATTCTTGACAGAACACTATGGCCCTTACTTTCAGGTCACTATGCTCTCACATTTCGTGTAGAAGAAAAAGTTGTGTACACTTTAGGGGGGATGTATACAAAATAAGGAAACCAGCAAAGTAGAAGTAATACATGCAAATTTTAATAAACCCTTTATCCTACCTCAGAAAACACTACCTGGAAAATTAATTCAAATTTTTCTGCATGTAATCATTGCACTGCAGACTGAAAACTGAGTGAAACAATGAAGAACACAGTATTTAGCAATACAGTACAGCTGAACCAGCAGTCTGTGATAATCAGCCTGGGAAAACTACAGATTCACTCATAGTAAATAAAAGAGTCGAGTGTTTATTCAAGGACCTGACACAGCTAATTGCTATCCTATTAGGTAGAAGATTAGAAAGGGGACAGACTAATGTCACCAGCTATGAGGTATAAAACTCAAAGACAACACTTTCACAGAGAATGACAAATAAGGTACTATGGAATACATACTTTCATTGATACTTTCCTTCTATATATTAAGAAAGAAGAAACAGTCCATATAGAGAAATATACTGAAGCTATTTGTTGCTATTCTATAATTTACTTAAAACTGACTACAATTTCTTCTAGAACAATTCAAGGGTTTATTGCTTTGAAATTAGGGTCAAAAAATGGAACTGTTGTCCATGTCATATGATATTACACTCTATCTATATGGTTGTCACTCAGTAATGTTCGGTGGAAGATAAGTGTAGTTCTCCAAGCACACTCTCCAAGTGTACACTCCAAGTTTAATTTAATTAGTATAATTTTTAGAATCTTATCATTAGTATCCTATGAAATCTTTCTCCTTAATTAAGCAATATTGCAGGTCTGAATTTAGTAACTCAAGTAACTCAATATTAGAGGTCTGAGTTTAGGAACTCAAGAGTAGCATTGAGAAACTAAGTATCAGGGACAAAAGTATAAAAATGTATCTCTGTAAGTTCTGAATGACAGAAATCAGAAAATGCACAAAAAATCTTGAGGTATACAGGGTGTAAACACAAGAAGCAATTTAAAGTATTGCACATTCTGATTCATTTAAAATACTCAAGGATGTATCTAAGTATGTCCTTTGTTGCAAGAACTGGAAATTTGCTTATGGACACATCATAGAATACCAGGATGGAAGGGACCTCAAGGATCATCCAGTTCAAACTTTCTTGGCAAAAGCATAGTCTAGATAACATGTTCCAGAACGCTGTCCAGCTGCATCTTAAAAGTGTCCAATATTGGGGAATCCACCACTACCCTGGGGAGACTATCCCAATGGCTGGTTGTTCTCATTGTGAAAAATTTTCCCCTTGTGTTCAGCTGAAATCTCCCCAGTATTAACTCGCACTCATTACCCCTTGTCTTTTCCATGCGACTCCCTGTAAAAAGGGAGTTTCCACCTTCTTTGTAGCCACGCCTAAATAATGAAACATGGTGATAGGGTCTCCCCTAAGCCTTCTTTTCTCAAAGCCAGTTCTCTCAGCCTTTCCTCATATTGCAGGCTTCCCATCCCTTTGATCACTTATGTCCAGGGGAATGTGATCTAAGCCCTATAGTACCCCATATATGAATCATACTGTGCTGATCAGCACATCAAGTCATGGGTAGGAAATACAGCTCATATGATAGGAGGTTTAAAAAATGGCAGAAGAGCAAAAATAAGAAGAGTAACAGTAACCATAGGAAAGAGCATTATGGTTAACATAACCTTCAGATTTTTTGCTGGTTTGAATTTTAAGTCATCATTTACAAATAATATAATCTCACTTCAGTTTTCTTCATTTTTTGGTCTACATTTGTCCTTCCTTCTCCTTTCAGTATTAAGCACTGCACTAGGATTGCAACAGTCTCCTCAAAAAATTAAAGACAGCTATGATTAGGTATAGTTAGAAAAAGGCTAAACAAATAAACTGGCTAGATAGAACAACCTAGCATTAAATACAGAGAAATTAGTCACACTTGCTTAGTAATAGCTGAGGGGGAAAAAAAGGCGATCCAAAGAGAAAAAGGAAGGCTTTACTCTCTTCATACATGATAATAAAGAACAAAGAATCAGAGCATCTTAAGCCTCAGGTTTTGGTTTCAAGTATGAGGACATAACAACCTGATATGAGGATACACCAATGAGGACATACCATCTCATCAATATTGCTAGCAAAAGTGTCCAACTTCTTCCATTTTAAGTACCTACACCCAGAGGAAAATGTATATATTAAAAAACACTAGTAAAATTAGCATCCATAAATGCATACGAAATGTAGAATGAAGTCAACCCTGCTGGCAACTTCTCCTATGTCGCATTACTATGCAGAGCAGTGCTGAAGCAAAAAGACTAGACAATGCTAGCATCATCACACTCTTCTTCTTGTTGAAACTGCTGCCTGTGATATTAAAACACATGGAGTTTAGTTATTGGTGTTATCCAGGCTATCATAAATGAAAATTCAGGTCAGATCACCACCAAACACTTGGTTGTGCAAAACTCACAGGCAGGAATGAATTTTTATCTGTATTAATTTACACCCATTAGAATCATAGAATGGTTTGAATTGGAAGGGATCTTTAAAGATCATCTAGTATAACCCCTCTGTCACAAGCAGGGATATATTTTAGAGATCAAGTTGATCAAACCTAACAAGTTCTCCCAAATATTAAAAGGCAGGCACTATATATCCCAACTTCTCTTTTCCTAAATCTTCATTCTTACTCTATTTTCCATGGCCCACTATGGACCTCTTGGCTTTCTCCTCTTCCAAAGCTGGTCAAACAATGATTTTGGTTCTGCCTTTGTAGTAATACTGTTTTGAATAATGTTACATGTATAAAAAAAGGCAAATATGTTACAGCAAGAATTATTACAAAGATGGAATTTCCCAGCATCTAGTATGCAAAGTCTGTAGTGTTGGTGCAACCACTGCCTGGCACTCTTCGGTGAAAACAGAAGGATTCGATCTCCTTGACATGTACTCAAAACAATTAGAGAGCATAACAGAAAAGAGAAGGGAACAGTACTGATTCCTGATTTTAGTCTCAATTTCAATCTGCTTCTTTATTTTTTTCCTAAATCAAATTTTCTGATCCAAAATTATTAATAAATTCAAACCAAAGACGTAATTCCTGCCCCTTCAAGAAAATGAGTATAAGGGCACACAGTAGCACAGGGAGATTGCTGCGGAAAGGCATTTTTGTTTCAGGTTTTCCAAGATCATTAAAGAAAAATTCTCAGAAATTATAAAACATTAGGCAATTCTTCCAAAAATAACATTTGAATGTGGTTCTTTCCTTTACAGTGTCAAAGTAATGTTGTTTAAGCTCAAAAGATTGAAGGTAGTGTACTTGACAGCCTATTTTTATAGATCTGATTTGAAAAGTAGCTCACCTCCCAGGACCATACCAGCTTGACAGCACTTCCTCAAGCGACATGCTGGACAGTTCTTCCTACGGATTTTGTCGACTATGCAGTCATTTCTTCCAGCACACAAATAGTTGTGCTGCCCTGCAGGCAAGAGAAAAACAGGATTAATACTACATTTTCTAACAGGACAAAATTATTTCTGCATATAAATGTCCCAAAAATAACTGAAGATTCAAAAAAGTTGAACCATTAAAGGACTCCTTCATTTTATGCTAATTTCTGAATAATCATGTGTTACTATTTGAATATAATAACTCATTTGGCCCGTTTAAGAGTGAAACTCCCCATCTATGAAATTCCAAAATACATTAGCAGGCAGCACGAACTACTACCAACAACATTTCTTAAGTAAATCAAGCAGGAGGACAGACCAATTTGTTTCTTTCAAACTTATTTTTCCTTGAAGTTATTGTTCCTGGTTTTAAAGAACTTAAGTAATTTTTGCTTGGACTGAAGTGGAGTTTCCAACAGAAAACAGAATGAAAAAGTTGGGGCAGTGCAAAAATAGCCTTTAAGAAGAGTAAATTATTCTCCAATGGAGAGGTAGTTTTGTGCTAAACTCGATGAAATACCAGCTGACCAGACGCAGCCAACACAGACAACAAACAGAAGGCAGCTGTAACTTTGTGGTTTAGGTTAGCTCTTAGTTATTGTTTAATTCTGAAGGACTATCTTAGAAACAGTCTGTCATTACTGTATTAAAATGGAATCTCTTAAATGAAATTAGCTTTCAGCAGAGCAAAAAATTGAATTCAGTTGATATCCTCTCATTTTTTTGAACACATCCTTCAATGATATTTCCAAATTTCTAAATTTCACTTCGAGAGAATGAAAATGTATTCTTTAAAATCAGTCACAGAAATTATCAATGAAGCATTAATTTTGAATATATAAACACAGCTAAATAAGTACATAAGTAAGAAGAAATTCACATATAAATTCAAATTAAGCCCAGGTTTACCCCTCAAGGTCTAATTTTAAAATCCTGCCTGTTTGTGCATGTCATCCTCTATTCAATTTCTTAGCAGTACCTAGCACGAAAGCATGAAAACAACAACAAAAAAAATATTTTATTTTGGGAGCAATAAATTGGATCAAAAACTTAAAGATAAATCTCAGATGTACCAGTATCATGCATACTTTCTTCATGGAATATTGTGGATGTGGACAGATATCAGTACCAATCCTTTTAAATTTTCACTGATTTCTAGATCAGTATTACTCTTGAGTTAGCCATCTGATGTCACTAACAGTAAACAAATCCAAGATGGTTATTCTACTCAGATACTGTTATTCAGCCTTCTTTATAACCCTACTCTGCCATTTCTCTCCACAGAGTAAAATGAACAACTGTTCACCCATGGCTTTTCTCTACAGAAGAAACACAAACTAAAAACTAATCCTCAAATGAAAATGCAGGAGAAAAAACATTCTATTCTAACTAAAGAGTTACTGTTAAACCATGTGAAACAATGTACTTGTTTCTGTGCTAACATTTTTAAACATAAATAATTTACTCTTACCCATAATTTTAAGAACAACTTGTTTGGATTTAGTGAAAGAAACCTGATTGTCTCAAATTAATTTTCATAACAATTTCTTTTTTTGTTTTGCTTAGAAAACATTGAGTAAACAAAAACAGTTGCCTCACCCTTTGCCTGACATCTAAAAAGTACTTAGTAATGCAGCAAATGAAAAGAAATTCTCATTTACTTTTCCCCATTAACTCTAATCCTGGATTTCTTCTAAGAGGAACCATTACTGAAAGTATCTGAATGAATAAAAATCTGTCTTGCTTTTGGCAGCACATCAGTAAACAAAGCACTTATTTTGAAAATTTCTTCCTTGGGATTATTTGCAGTTTTATCTTGTCTTACTTTGCCTTTATAAGCTGGAAAAGGCATTCAATCTTTTGATAAGCAACAACAATTCTAAAACTCCATTAGTTTAATTAAAATCTGTGAAGATTATCTCAGCACTGAGGCATTCTGGTGCTTTAATGTACATTTAATTTACAAAGGAATGCTTAAGTGTAGTTAAAGTTTTGTTTGTTCTTGTCTTGGGGGGTTTTCTTTGGTCCCCTGAGAGGCGATTTCTTCTGGACTGCTTTTCCAAGGAATTTGTTGAGTCTACACAACATGGTCTGAGTCCATATAACCTGTATCCATTACAAGACCAAAAAATGGCCTATGGATTTCCAGTATGACACTAAATACTTGCAAGCAACTCACAGTGCTATAGGCATTCAAGTTGTACTTTTCCTCTCATAATGACACAGAAAAATGCTGATCCACCAAAGCCAATACCATATCAGGAAATATTATTCTTTGAGCACCCAATGAACACTGTTTCTACATTCTAGAATTATGTCAGTATTTAGGACTCACTCTTGAGATGAGCATGTGATTTGTGTACTCAACGCCCAAGTGCATGCTCTAACTACTAAAGGAGGCTAAGGACTGTCTGCTGGAACAGGAAATTATTTGGAAAAACAGAAATTAACACCTTGATTTATATTGATACACTGTATTATTAGCCCGTATTATTTACATAATAGTGTTCCAATATTGCACACCTAAGATAAAACATCACAAATCAAGTTACAAAATTTTAAATTTACAGTTATACATTTAAGTTTAGCTACATCTCTTAAAAAAATTTTCATACTTTAGGGGTTATCAGTAGAGCCAACTTCCACTTCAATTTAAAATGCAGAAATTACTTCTTCATCACATTGCAACCCAAAAACTGTTTATTATAAATTTAAGACTGAAAAAAATTTTTCTCATTTGCAAAACAAATCAAAAATTAATCACAATTATGAGAACTACTCTTTGATATTCATATGTTGTAAAGTTTCAGATTAGACAAGATTTAATAATCTCTCTACCTGGGGCATTATATGCAAGAAAGAAAATCTGTTACTAGAATTCAGGTACAGTAAAATTTGCTTTGATCTTCAATAAGTTAATATTATTTCATTTCCATTTGTTTCATAAACTGTATTTAAAACTCTAATAATGACCAATGACCTAATCTTTATGATGTCTTCACCTAGTTTATTTCCTCCACAATACTAGTATGAAAAAAAAAAGAAGCAAGAAAAAGCCAAAACTCTGCCAACTCAACCCTCCCATGAGATTGTGGTGACAAAATCTCAGGTACTTCTTGATGGTTATGTTAACCACTTCCATGTTTTCAGGACTATTAAAAAACCACAGACGTATCCTGCATTTGAATTACACCTTCATATGTGAGTTTTCCACTCCACTGATTTCTATCCCAAGTCTCCCCAACACCTTCCATCCCTAAGTGTATTCCATTCATTCTGATTCAGCTGCAACTTATTTGAAAAACATGTAAGGTTCAATTATATAGTATTTTTCATAGTCTCATCTGTCAATTTTTTTTTTATTATCTCAGTCATCTGATTGCATCTTATATCAACAGAAAAATCTGCACGAACGTACTCATCTGAAATCGCTTCTATCATTGTGCAGAGCAGGGTTCTGGGAAACTGTTACTTACTTGACATTAATATTTTAGGGGCAGCAGCCATCTGAAAGAGAGATGGTGCAAGAAGTAGAACACATGCCAGATGTTTAGCTAATTTCAAAATTATTGGACAATATTTAGTTAGATGAAGATGTTTGGAATGTTTTCATGGGAGGCTAAGATATTTATTTGAAAACACATTTGTTATAGCTCAGTCTTTGAGATCATCTGTATTTGAACTAATTGTCCTCAATACGTGAGCATTGAAGTCACTAATATGCACGTACTAACGAAGTATCCAAAACCCACTGTCTAGGTAAAATTACCCTTTAATTGGTCATTTGACATTCAGTATCTCTTATATTACTACTGTAATTGTAACCAGGAAAACAAAAAAAAAACAACTAACCAACTAAAAAACTCAGAAAAGACCAGGATAGTAGTATAATCACTAGAGCATAGGTTTGAAAGTAAAGGTTGGCATTTGTATTTCTTACAAAAATATGAACTTGGGAAATTTCTGGAAACTACCGCATCTTCAGAAAGCTTCACCCAGTGTTAAGGTTTACTTTTCACCGCTTTTTGAAAATGCACATGGAGGGTCCCTCTCAATGTATCAGCTTGTGACCAGCTTGGCTGAGAAAATCCAGTTTCATCTGTTGCTCAAATGCTCCAAATTCTTGTAGGATACCATTTTTCTTACCTTCCATCAAAATCCATTTGTGTTAGGAAAGGTGTAAGTTCTAATTAAACAAGCAAACACGATTTTAAGTACTGTAATGACTACTGCTATACTGGGAGGTTTTTAATCCAAATAGTGCTGGAAGTAGCATGTACAATGTCTTTAAAAACTGCACTATTAACTGAGTTCACTGACATGCTGTAAGTCACTTAAAATCACTTGAGTAAACTCATGAGTTGCAGAGACTTTGCAGATGTGCAAAATATGGAAACATAAGGCTTTATCTGCACCTGGGGTATCAGATAGAGCAGTCAGTTATTTGGGCAAGTGCTGAACTGCTGTAACCTTGCACAGAAGCAAAGCACTGGTTTGCACACCCTCAGTTCCTCCTATCTGCTAAGAACCGTACTTTCTCAATTCTTTTTTCTCTCTCCCATATATGATTCTGTCTCCCTGCATCTCTCTTAATTTGCAATGCTTTTGTATAAAATCATCAACTTCTGGAGGATTCTTCTTTGCAGAACATATCATGATGTTTTATTTAGTCTAGTTTTAGATTTCTGTCTAAAAACTACAGATATGTATTGAATCTCTTTGCAAATTATTTTACTGCCAAATGTCTCCCAATGTCAACTTTTTGCTTCCTGAATGCTAGCTCAAGGTTTTGCTCAATAATTTTCTGGCAGTATGTTTTATTTCTTATATTTTTAAAAAAATACCAATTAAATCAATAGGTTAAAAAAACCCAAACAAAACCACAAATGAATTCTGGAAGCCCACAGTAACCATGGGTTTAAAATTTTAAAAATGGAAAATAAGTTCACCTGTATACCTCAACTAAATATAATGATGCAGATGTAGCTTTTTAGTAAAACTGACTTCTGGAAGCTAAGACAAAGGACTA